CCCCAAAACCCCAAAACCCCAAAACCCCAAAACCCCAAAACCCCAAAACCCCAAAACCCCATATTAAACCCCAATTTAATAATAATTATACCTTAGCGAAATTGATGGAGTCTTCCAGCTCAGAAAGTGACATGTTTGGTAAGACCTGCTGTAACTAACTGTGTTCAATGAAGGTTTAGCAAGCCTCACCCTTTGGAATTCATGATTTGCTTGAATAATAGCTTTCAGTTTTTAGGAAAGAAGAGATTTTAGAAATATAGTAATTTTTAGCAAATATCGCCCATTTTTACAGGCAGATAGAGGTATACTTCTTTTGTGAGCATTGAGGCATAATCTTAATAAAAATATGATAAGCACCTAGCACTCGGGGTTTCTTTTGAAAACACACACTACCTTTATGCCAATGTTTTATCTGATACTGAAACTTATTAAAAGTTTTTCCAGAGAGAGTTATTGTATTTGATAGATATTTACTTATGCCCTCTAGAGGCATATCTAAGCTAAGACATTTCAATTTCGACCTATAAACTTTGACTCTTCTTATCTATGACATCATGAAATCTAAAAATTTTGATTTAAAATTGTGCGCTCAATTACTCTTTAAAATCTGGAACAATTTTGCTAAATCTGACTTCAAAGTCCCTGGTAGTTAAAATATCTGGCTGCATCAATCTAAATGGCAAAGCCTATAGACAAATTGCTGTGAATTCCAAAATTTGTCAAATTATGACAAATTTGCTAAAGTTTAGCTATAGAAGTGATTGACGAGACCGAATTTTTTGACCAAGAGAACCTATCTGAAAGCGATGATGCCCTTGAGAGGGATGGCAATAGGGTGGACAACATAATTGAAAGAAGTAGAAGGCAAGCAGAAAGAAGACTTATTAGTGAGAACAACCCTTTCGCTAACCTTGATGACATCACCCAGAGATTAGGCAGAGAAGCCTCTGAAAGGTTCAGATCCATGCTTGAAGAAAGAAAGCAGCAAGCTATTACTAAGCTAACAGCCAGAGTTGACAGACAATGGCTAAGACGGCATTATGACGAATCTGAAGTTGACATGATCGATGATAAGGATGTTTCCTCAGTCAGAGCAATCACTGAATCTATCGGCACAGTAGGCACTTTGGTCATGATGAAGCTGAAGAATCTGGAAAAGAATCCCCTCGATATTGAGTATACGTAAGGTCCTGTTTATTACCTTTTAGCGAACTCTGTAGGAACAAGTTATTTCCTATCCAAGCAATAGTATCCAAACTGTTCTTTGAACCATGAGAGTTTGAAGGTAGGCTAGCAGTTATTTAAGCTACAAGTGCTCATTAGGTATAGGCTCTCACTTACATGTAATTTACTCTAAAATCCCTAAGAAATTCTGTAAAAAGTTCAAGCCTGAGGTATGAAATCTCTTAATTCTTTAGTGATACAGTGCAAAAGAGTTAGATTTGGTCCTGAATTCAACAAACCCATATACTGTAGTAGTACTGGTGTTCATCCTCTGCTTTATCTCAGAATACTTGAAGAGCAATGATGGCCCATATTTTAGAAAATATGTCACCCATCTTAAGAACATTATTAGATTTTATAAGATTGCTAAAGAGCAATGCAATGAAGATGACAAGCTAGCTAAAACCATTTCAAAAATTATCATTAAAGTTTTGTCACAAATGGATGAGACTGAGGAAGACAAGAAAAGAGCAGCTGAGCTTATGAATCTCTTATTTGTTGGAAAAGATCCAAAATATGCCTTAAAGAGCCTCAAATCAGAATACAAGTATTACAAGAATGGTCTGAAGCAATCCAGACAGAGAGAGCCCTGTGATCCTCATCAGAGCAACGGGGACTTGTTCTGGTCTTAAGAATCCACCCACAAGCCTGGGTCAGATGCTGGTTGGGATTTCATTTGTAATCTTTCAACTAAAATTACCTAAAAAGGGGTTTTGGGGTTTTGGGGTTTTGGGGTTTTGGGG